TAATGACAATTTATAAGAGGAAAATTCTGTATGATAGTATTTACAGGTGTAAAAGAAACTCATATACAATCAGATAAATTCTACTCAGGTTCAATTTCTACCCAGGGAAGTAACAGCGGAACAACTTACTCCATATTTTCTTAATGATACTCTGCTTTCTCTTTTCATATTTAATATTGCCATTTTATGTTTATTTAATATAAGAACTATAAATGACTAAAACTCTAGCTGTGTATTATTTCCTGCTTTATCAGTATTTTTGAATACTTCACTAATACATGTAAATCATTAATACTTCCAGAATTTTTGACTTTTTTTCTAATATTTAAGATATATTGGTCCTCCATTATTTTTAGAAACAACTTTGCATTCAAACATTTTTATTCAAAAAGCCTTTTAACATTTGAAATAAATGTGAAATATAAAAATATTTAATTAACTTTCTGACAGTCAAATATGCTCCCGCATTTGTTGTTCTTTGAAAGGTTAGCCATTTTAAATTGGAAAAGAGAGAAAAACTGAATCTCAAAAATGAATCCTCTCATGTTTGTCTGTGTGTAGCTATTAACCTTTGTTCTTTAACTGACTTTGTAACAGAAATTTACCTAATATGAAGTTCTTAGAATTTCTGGATAGGAGTAAGGAGTTTTCCTTGCTATTATGTATAACATGAGATTATCTCATTGCCATCCTTAGTATCTTTAAAACATGTATGTAATTTCAAATGTGCTTGAAAAATTAAATTTGATAATGAATTGCTTGTTGATAGAGGAAAAGAAAGCAATAAAATTTTATTTAAAATTAAGCAGTCTGAGATAGAGCATTGTAATTTTAATGAAAGTTCAGGGTTAGATTATTGAAACAAAGTGACAGTAAACAGCAGGAATTTTCTTCTTTGGGAAGAGAGTATGGCCTCTTTTGTACATAAGAGGTGTTTAATACAGTTTGAGCATTCTTAATCTAAAAATCCAGAATGCTCTAAAATACTAGCCAGCACGACACACATGGCCTCACATGATGACTCACAGTCTAAACACAGACAAAACTTTGTTTTATGCACAAACTTATTACAGAGAATGTATAAAATTTTATCTGTATAAAGCGTATATGAAACATAAATGAACTTCCTCTTTAGACTTGGGTCTTGTTGCCAAGATATACCTCCTTATATATGTGCAAATATTCCAAAATCCAAAAAACAGTTGAATTTTAAAACACTTCTGGTTCCAAGCATTTCAGATGTTGGCCTGTAAATATAATATAGGAAGATCACCAAAGTGGGAGTCTGTTGCTTTAGAAAGGGGTTCACTTACGCTTTGCTGTTAGTGATCTTAGTAAGTCACTTCATAGTTTTGCACCTGACTTTGCAAATCTATAAAACAAGAAAGTAGGACTAGCTTTTAAGGGCCTTTTCTACCTCAAGTAATTTGATGCTAGATATTTTTAAAAATTAAGTTTCAAGATTAGAATAAAAACGTTTTATAAACAGGGCTCAAACACTTTTTTTTTCCTCAGAAAGTACCAGTTTTTTCAGTTATGTCACTTACAACAAATTCTGTAGATTGACTCCTTTAAACAGATAGAGTTTTGTTATTGTGTCAGTTTGGAGTAATAATGAAGAAAATTTAAAACTGGTTATGCTATAAAGTGTCAGTCTAAAGTGGACTGTCACTCACTCTTGGAAAATATTGCATTTTGTTTATCTTCTCCAGTATAAGTTTTTGCTCTCAAGATAATCATTATAGGTCAAGAGACATTTTATACTCCTACACAAATGAATCTATGTTTATATCAGATGCAATCCCAAGACATTTCTGTGTAGCAGATTAACTGTTGGTGCTTGGCCACACTTCAGTTAAGAAAGGAACCCCGAAGCTGGCCACCATGGCTCACACCTGTAATCCCAGCACTTTGGGAGATCGAGGCGAGCGGATAACGAGGTCAGGAGGTCGAGACCATGCTGGCCAACATGGCGAAACCTTTCTCTACTAAAAATACGAAAATTAGCCAGGTGTGGTGGCACGCACATGTAGTCCCAGCTACTTGGGAGGCTGAGGCAAAGGAATTGCTTGAACCTGGGAGGCAGAGGTTGCTGTCAGTTGAGTTCGTGCCACTGCACCCCAGCTTGGTGATAGAGCAAGACTGTCTCCAGAAAAAAGGCGGAACCCTTTTCCAGGCATATGCATAGTTTACACGCCAAGTAGTGGGTTCCACTCCTGTATTGGACTCATTCTACTGTTGAAATAGTAGGAATCAGCTGCACAGAATTTTATCACTAGCATTTTTCAAGAGGTATCCAGAACACTGTAGTATATTTCCAACATATATGTCTAATCCTCAATCTATAGTATATGTTTACAGAGCCATATATTTTTTTTCTGGTTTTAAGCCATTAGATACCAAGTGATAACAGGATATAACAGTTTGATATTCAAAATTATGTGTAACACTCTGAACTCTTACAGGTGCTGTATAATTTTTTTTATTGGTGTGGATATAGGCTATTAATGCTGTGTCCTTAGTGAATTTAAAAAAAAAACTCTTTTCCTTTGTGTTAACAACACTAAACAGTGAAGGAGAGACCTGAGTTATTGTTCCCACTTTGCCAGTACCCTCTGCTATAAAACTCCTGTTCTATGGGAGAGTATATGAAATTCTGAAGAATGCATAAGTGAATAATTATGGTTCCTACCTCAGTGATAAAATGAGGTATTGAGCAAAACAGTCTCAAAGACAAATAAAAAAAATTGTATGTAGGATTTGTTTTTGTAATGACAATTCATTATAGTATCTAGTTTCTAGAACGCTTCTTGCATTTTATCCACAGAAGCCCTGTGAAAAACATTGTTTTCATTTTTTATTTCCATAGGCAAGGAAGCTTCCAGAACAAGTATTTGGTATAGCCAAGTCCTTCCACTCCAAATCTCAAATTTAGTTTAGTTATGTGACATCAGAACAGAAGCATGATAAATATATATCCATGCCACCAATGCCCTTGGTTGATGGTGACAGGCAATATCCAAGATGTCGTCTCTAGCTGAAGCTGACCATGTCCTGCCTTTTATGATGGGTTCTGGGCATCCTGAGGATTCATTTCATTTCTAGAACCTAACGAGACAATTGGTACTGGCTGCCAGCCAATGGCCCTACTTCGGGCTTCCCCACCCAGGTGCCAGGCAGTGGAATGACTCTAAACATGCCAGGCTGAGCTGTCTCTATTGCTCTTGCTTTTTAACCTAAAGCTGTGAACAGACTTAAGCCATCAAAAGAATGCTTTTTTTCCTGCAAAGCCCAGCCAAATCATCTCTAGACTGGCGACCTCAATTGTGTACCTGTCACATGCCAAACATATCCCAGGCTCTGCTTGTGTATTTTAGCAAGTGCTGTTGAGCCCCTGTTGTGTGGCTAGCTGAGCTACATGCACATTCCCTGATGTCAAATCACTTACAGTTTAACAGATGATTAGACATATAACTGCCAAAATGAGCAGTGCAGATCAGTGTAGATGCTAAGTGCCCAGTTGAGGTTCTTGTGGGCAGGACTGCATGATGGACTTTTTTATTCACCTTAATTTTAGATAATTGCTATGAGTGAAAATGTAGACTTTTTTGTGTTTGAAATAGTATCCTGGCTTACGTTTTTCAGAAAGGAAATTAAAATTACAGTTAGTGTTTAGTACTAACTTATTGTTTAATCCTCCAAAGAATTTTTAAAATCATCTGTTTATATGGAAAACCAGTTTTATTATGTTTTATTTTGGGATAAAGTAAGGTTTCTGTTTGTATTTTAGAATACTACCTAAAAACTACCATGAAGAAGAAAAACCACTTAGATAAATTGCTTAATTTTAATGAGAGAAATAATGCTCACTTGATAAATATTTTGCTTTAATTCTTGTGTTTTTGTCAGGGGTAAAAGCATGTCTACAAAGAAAAGTATGTGAACAGGAAGAAAAGTACGAAATTCCTGAAGGTCCACAGAGAAGCAGGCTCAACAGAGAACAGCTGGTATTTTTCTTTTAATACAACTTTCCTTGTTCTTATTATGACATACTATTATTATCACCATCAGGAAAAACTTCTGCCCTTTCAACAACTGCAGGTGACTGATTAAAATTTTAATTGTGCTTATTTCAAGCACTTGATTCTGAAAGATGATCACGATGAGCAATAAAATCCAGAAGGTAATAATTTCATACTGTTAATGGATTTTTGGCATCTTGAACATTCCCATAAACCTTTCAGAATCTGAGGCAAATCTCAGATACAGGAAGTAGCTTGAAAGAAGACTTACAGCTGCTGCTCGGATTTAGTTACCATATGTCTTTATGATCACATATTGCAGTGTTAATGGATAATATTGCATTATCCTGTTGATAGAGATAAGAATATTAGAAATGACAGACAATTTCCATAGAAGGGAATTATGAAACTTTTTTATTTCCAAAGAGCACACAGAAGTATGTTTCATAGCTAACTGGACCTCTAGCTTCACTACAATAATCTGTTGTGCCCTGTGAATACATTTCTGGAACCATGGAGGGCACACTCCCATCGTGGCTGCCCTGAATACCTTAGGTTGGTAATATGTAGGGATGAATGTGGATGGGCAGAATTGGATAAAGGTTCATGGAAAAGATGTTACTCTTGTAATTTAATTACATTTAGCCTGGTGTATCTGAAGCCTGTTTCAAATAAGCTAGGAATTTTGGGGGCTTTAAGTCCCACCAGATAAGCATAAACATCCTGATGAAAAAAGTTTGAAGAACAGTTTTGTTTTTTTTCTTTATACCAAGCACATCTAAAATTTTAGAAGAGTGAAAAGGAACTGAGATAGGCACTGAATCTTTGGGAAGAACTTATAAATAGGAAGCCCTTGTTGCCTAAGTATTTTTCTTGATCCAGTTAGTACGCTTGAAATATAGCTTATCCCAATACCTCATTAAGTAGCTTCATAGCTGCTCGTAATTATTACAGATTGAGCATCCCTAATCCAATATCCAAAATGCTCCAAAATCCAAAACTTTTTGAGCTTTGACATGATGCCACAAGTGGAAAATTCCACACCCTTCATGTGACAGGTCACAGTCGGAACACAGTCAAAATTTTGTTGCATGCACAAAATTATTGAAAATAATGTATAAAATTACCTCAGGCTTTGTGCATAAGGTATACATGAAACATAAATGAATTTTGTGTTTAGGCTTTATACATTCTTAAGATATCTCATGTATATGCAAATTTTTCAAAATCCAAAACTTTCTGGATCTGAAATGTTTCTGGTCCAAATGTTTCAGGTAAGGGATACTCAAATCTGTATTTTTATTTTCCTCATTCATATGCATTGTTTTTAAATACTGTATTTTGATCTGCCTTTAACAAATGTTTTCTCATTATTTCAGTTGCCAAAGCTGTTTGATGGATGCTACTTCTATTTGGGGGGAACCTTCAAACACCATCCAAAGGACAACCTTATTAAGCTCGTCACTGCAGGTGGGGGCCAGATCCTCAGTAGAAGGCCCAAGCCAGACAGTGACGTGACTCAGACCATAAATACAGTCGCATACCATGCCAGACCTGATTCTGATCAGCGCTTCTGCACCCAGTATATCATTTATGAGAATTTGTCTAATTATCACCCAGAGAGGGTTCGTCAGGGCAAAGTGTGGATGGCTCCTTCAAGCTGGTTTATAGACTGTGTGATGTCCTTTGAGTTGCTTCCTCTTGACAGCTGAATATTATAACAGATGAACATTTCAAATTCAACTTGCACGGTTTGTGAGAACCCTGTCGTTGTACTGTTTTTAATTGTTCACATTTTTACAAATAAGGAGAGTCATTCATATTTATCTTTGAATAAAAAAAAAAGTCAAATGTCAGATTAGGAATTCACTTTGTGTTTACCATTTAGATGCTGGAATTGCTTTTAAGGATTTTTCTTTTTAAAATTGGTGTGTTTTTTGATTCATCATGTCTTTCTATTCAGATTATTGAGTATCAAAGATTAATGAGAGGACACTAGACTCATGGTTAAATAGACAAGTGATATCATTACTTACTAAAATCTATACCTGCCACCAGTGAAAAAGCTTGCCTTTTTTTTTAGTAAACAGAGAATATTATCAAATAATTTATTTTGTTGAAAAGAGAGTATCTGATCTTAAATGTGCCACCAGTGTTAAATTCTCCTATCTGCAGTTGTCTTTATCCTATTTTGTGTTTTCTTTTTTCCTTTATAATTTAATTTGTGGTCTGTTTCTACACTTTTTCCTTGTTTTTTATCCTGTATATTCACCAGGAAATCATGATTTTATTCTTAACATTTTTTTTTTGGTGGGAAAAATCAATACTGAGTTCATGGTACATATTTTCATTCTGTACATTTGCTTATAACTGTCAATTTATAACTCTGTCTACTACATATGTGTATATACTTAGAACATTTTAACAAATTTTAGTATCAGTTTTTAGAAGGTCTGACTAGTCTAGCAAATTGTCAGTCCAACATCATTACTTTAAGAAGCAGTCTTATTCTGGTAGACCTTGTTGGTACTTCTAAAATAATTTTGAAGGTCTTAAATTCTTCCTTTGTAAAGTTTTTTTTAAAGTTTTTAGGTTGGCCTGGAAGCAGAAGTTGGTGATTACTTGATTTAGAATAGATTTTTTCCAGATCATACAAAAGGAGGGGTAGGGCTTACTAATATCAAATAGGCAAAGCCTCAGTGAGTGGGCAGGATACCCCTGAGAATGGCCAGACTGGGAGAGGTTACTCTGCTTTGGGTGCTCTCATTCGCAAATTGACAAGGATACATTAGATTATTTCAAAACATTTTTTTAAGAAACAGAATTCTTTAATAATTCCTTCCTAGACATTGGATATACTTAAACAATTAAAGGCTTGGGGAAGGAGACACTGAGAGACCTTCCAGTTTGGTCCCTCATGAGCAGAAGAAAACAGATTGATAACTACTGAAATAGAATATCCCTAGTTTTAAAACACTGAGAATCTCTGAAGTTCATCAGCATCTTAAGATGTAATTACTTGAAAGTTTGAGATTCTGTTTATCATTTGAAAATATATTTTGCTTTAATTCTTTCTTTGACATGTTGTTTTTTCATATCAAGAAATACATTGTGTGAACAAAATAGCCTTTTGACCCTGACCTTGCTGGATGAATTAGCTCTGAAACGCTCTCTGTAACAAGTAATGTGTTTGTCCCACATTTCATTCTGATGGAGAATGATGAACACCATAGCACCAAACAAAAATCCGAGGGGTTAGATAATGTCTGGATTAAATAATTTAAGACTCTCTGGGATTTTGGTTGTCATTTTTTATTTAGAACTGACTTCAAGTTACTTTCTATTGTCTCATAGGTCACATTTGAGACAGGTTTGTGTCTGTTCCATGCATCTGAATTCCTGTTGGTAAAGACACCTTTGAGGTCTCCTGCTCAGTTTTCTTCATTCGTTATCTTGGTTTATCACCCCTCCCTCCTTTTTTCCCCTGACTTATTAAGCAGTTTCATCTTTGCTTTCTTTAAATATTTATTTTGACAGCAGTTAGTTTGTGTTACGCTCTTGAAACTTGTGATTGTATTTTCTCTGTAGAAATATATGTAATTATTTTTATTTTTCAATCACAGATTCAAGCTTCCTTTTTATTTACCATAAATCACTAAAGTTATTTATGTTTTCATATATCTGTGTCTTGTATAAAATTGGCTTATTCTGTGCTGTTGAAGAATGAGGCTCAACATGACTTGTGAGGAAATCTATCAACTAACAAAAGCTTATCTTTTTGAACATAGCACTTTTTAATTTTGAATAAAAATATTTCTGATATGTACTAGAGACTTTACTACATTAAGTTATTCCAAATACAGTATAACCTTGATAGTTTGGAATCGTCATTAAGAACATCAGTTACACAGTGATTCCTTTGTGGCTCTATAAAAGTGAGAGGTTGGTAGCTTTTCCACATTCTCACGGCTGTTTTCTAGTTCTACTTGGATTTGTAGCTGTTTCCCTTTTTCCTGACAGCTGCCACTTTGTAGCTATTTTTCTTTCTCTGCTAATACTTGACCATATCTAACTTTTTTTGCTTTTGCTGAAAAATGGAAACCAGATGGGAAGTATGTTAGAGTTTTGACTGAAATAAGGTTAAATGAGCAGTGTGTGAGGGTTTTCACTGATTTCACCTAGGAGGTAGTTTAGCTACTTGAATTTTAATAAATAGAATTTTTCAATTATTTCATCTGTCTCAATTTCTTTTTTCTTTTTTTGCACCTGCTTTGTGAATTTAATAAGTGACCTCTGCCTAGAGGATTATATTTGGGGAGGTTTGATGTTTCCTGTGGAAAAAAGACAATTCACGGGTGGGAGTGGGGCTGCATTGACTGTCACTGCTTCCTTGGGTTAATTGCATTCTAAAGTTCATGGACGTCATGACAGTCTCACAACTGTCTATTCTGTTTCCTACCCTGCACATATTAAAATGGCAGGAACGAATGCTTGTTTTATTTAATAACTAACAACCACCATTTTCTTTGAAGATATATTGAGCTACAAATTGTAAACTCAGTGTATGTCTTTATAAGTCAACCCTTTGCAAAGATGTACACATCAAACTACCTAAATAAATGAATAAATAAATAAACAACTACTGAGAAGTTGTCTTCAGTTAAGAGCTCTAATTTTTTTTTAGTCAACTAATAAGGCTTATGCCTCCCTAATTAAACTGCAGACATTCTTATGAATTAGGGATTGTTGATTATTTGTGTAGCTTTCTAAGGCATGAGGTGCATTTTCTGATACCTGTTCTATTAGAATGGGGATGTGAGAGAAGTGGGAAAAGCATGTTCTTTAGGCTTAAAGGGTTAATAACTAAGTCTCCAGCCCCGAGGAGGGTCCTGCACAGGCTTTGAAGTTAGACCTGGGTTTGTTAACCATCTAACCTGTGTCATTGGTGATAAAGGTGGGGAATACTGTTCATTTCACCTGGGTGTAAAGATGTGTGAAAGTGTTAAACACACTGTATACATTCACAACTCACCTTCCAGGACCTCTGAGCAAACTCATGAATACGTGGCTGATGGTAGCACAGCCTGTGTCAGTCCTGAGTGTCCTGGCTCTTGTGTCCCATGCATATCTACAGCTGGGTGTCCTCCCGTCTTAACTTACCTGGTTTTAGCCTGAACAACAACCAGAGCCAGGCCCTAGTTTCTTATTTCTCACCATCCTATCTGCACTGGTAAAGTTTGCCCATCTATGTAGCCTCTCCTGTTCATTTCACTAAAATATTCGCTTTCACCTCCTCAGTTACTTACTGTAGATACCAAGATTGCTTAGGCCTCCACACATAAGTGGTACACCTTGGACAGCACTGTAAAACTTCTATTACATTATAAACCCTTATATTACAATATAAACACTTCTGCCACCATGGCTTGCGGCCTAAATGTTCGTCTTTTCTGCCTTAGTTTGTGAGACCCAGATTTTCATTAATACCACAAGTTTGTCAAAACCTTGCCCCATTTTCCTCCTGCGTAAAATAATGTAACCTAAAAATAAAGGTCTTTTTCAGAATCTTACTAATGTAAATGTTTGAGGCTTTTTTGTTTTTGAGACGGAGTCTTGCTCTGTCGCCAGGCTGGAGTGCAGTGGCACGATCTCAGCTCACTGCAGCCTCCACCTCCCGGGCTCAAGTGACTCTCCTGCCTCAGTCTCCCGAGTAGGTGGGACTACCGGTGCGCACCACCACGCCCGGCTAGTGTTTTGTATTTTAGTAGAGACAGGGTTTCGCCATGTTAGCCAGGATGGTCTCGATTTCCTGACTTCGTGATCCACCCACCTCAGCCTCCCACAGTGCTGGGATTACAAGTGTGAGCCACCGTGCCCGGCCATGTTTGAGTTTTTAAACAAATCTGTTTACAAAATTATTACATCGTTACTACAGAAATACAAAAAGAACATCTGCAGGATCCAAAAGCACAAGGAGGAAAACAGTCACAAAATCCAGGGACCATTAAGCTTACCAACCATTTTGTGTAGCCTGCCTAGTGTTAAAAGTACATTGAATGCTGTTGACAGGGACACGAGCTTTCGTTCTCCACATCCTCACCACTTCCCTCTTACCTCTTATGTGTTTTCAGTTGGGCCTTGGAAACATTGATTTAATCCACAACTCGGGAAAAGCAACTATTAACATTCTTGTCTTTTTTCTTTCCCCAAAAAGAAAAAAAGACAAGAATGTTATTCTCAACAAATCACCACTAAAGAACTTACACATGTAACCAAATACCACCTGGTAACATGAGTAAGTTTTTTGGTGGTGACTTGTGAGATTTTGGTGCACCCATCACTGAGCAGTGTACCCTGCACCATGTTTGTGGTCTTTATCCCTTGCCCCCGACCCCACTCTTTCTCCCAAGTCCCCAAAGTCCATTGTTTTATTCTTATGGCTTTGCATCTTCCTAGTTTAGCTTCCAGATATCAATGAGAACATACCATGTTTGGTTTTCCATTCCTGAGTTACTTCACTTAGAATAATAGGGTTTGTTTTCTGGTTCCTTCTCACGTGGGTTGGCACTGTCAGAGGAAAGATCTATGGCCGAAGGCTGTTCAGATTTTTTTGTCCCACGGGGTATTCCCTTGATGTAGTACGCTCCATCTTTTCCTGTGGATGTGGCTTCCTGTGAGCCGAACTGCAGAGATTATTGTCTCTCTTCTGGGTCTAGTCACCCAGTGAGTCAACCTGGCTCCAGGTTGATACTGGGGGTTGTCTGCACAGAGACCTGTGATGTGAACCGTCTATGGGTCTCTCCTTGGGCAAGTCTTGCTGCTGCTGGAGATAGGGGTGAGATTCCCAGGTCACCGGGAATTGTGTACTTAGGAGGATTATGGCTGCCTCTCCTGAGTCATGCAGGTTGTCAGGGAAGTGGGGGAAAGCCGGCAGTCACAGGCCTCACCCAGCTCCCACGCAAATCAAAAGGCTGCTTTCACTCCCACTGTGCCTCCTCACCACCAGCTCTGAGTCTCTGTTTCCAGACGGAGGGCTAGAGGGGCTTGAAAATCTGCATGAGGCTGCTTGCCTCCCAGCTGGGAACGAAGAGGGCTTGGTTCTATCCCCGCCTTTGGAGTCTGCGCACCAGATCTGTGCCCTACCCTGAGGTCCGGCCAGGAGGCTTCTCACCCTGTTCAAATTGTTACAGCGTTCCGCTAGAGAGTTCCCTCTCCCTGTGGCGTTTTAGCCCCTGCTTCTCTGGGTGCCCTTGGGATGGATCCCTGCGGTGCCAGGCAGGAATGAGCTGCGAGGGCACCCAACGAGCTCCCAGGCTTTTTCTGCTGCATTCTCTACCCCTGTATTTCACTTGGCTCTCCAGATTGACTCAGCTCCAGGTAAAGTCAGAAACTTCTCCCACAAACAGACCTTCAGCGTCTCCGGTGGGGGTGTGTGTTCCGGAGAGGAGAGTCTCCCTTTCCCACTTCTGCAGTTGGGGCTCTGAAAATACTTGAGGGGACCCTCGGGTCCTGCAGGAGCAGTTCACTGCCTTCAGTGGGTCTTCTCAGGATTGCTGGTTTGTTTGCAGTCAATCTGGAGGTAAAATTCATGACGTGAGCCTCTGCACGCTGCTCTCTCCAGAGCTGCATCCTAGCCCCGCCTCCCATCCGCCATGATGATCCAAGAATCTGTTTTTCTTTTTAATGAAATAGGAATCTGAATCTTTTTTTTTTTTCCTATTTAAGCACACATATATAGCTTTTATGACTAAGGCACAAAGCCCTGTGAATGCTTTTATTTCCCATGGTTTGCCATGTAATTAAGTGTTCTTATGCATAATTTCAGAAAGTATAGTACCCTACCAACACGATGTATCATGATTTATTTAACTGAATCCCTGGTATTTAATATTTGGGTTGTTTCTATTATAGAAACAACTATTAATATTATTATTTATTATTATTATTTTGAGATGGAGTTTCGCTCTGTCACCCAGCCTGGAGTGCAGTGGTACAACCTCCGCTAACTGTAGCCTCTGCCTCCCGGGTTCAAACAATTCTGCTTCAGCCTCCCAAGTAGTTGGGACTACAGGCGTGGGCCACCACACCCAGCTAATTTTTGTATTTTTAGTAGAGATGGGGTTTCACCATGTTGGCCAAGACGGTCTTGAATATTATCTTTATAATAAATTTGGAGTAGGAGGGGCAGAGTTTCTTTAAAAGGTCAAGCTAACTCAATATCCATGGCTACCATCTCTGCAGAATGCAGTGTATAAGCCTACACCTTTAAATTGCCTTCACTGATTGCTGTGATTTTCATGAGTTGCTGAAACTTTATCTGTGAGATTAAAAACACCTTATGGGTTAAAAACTAACCATAAAATGAAAAGAGAGAAACAATCTTTCTTTTGGTAGAGACCTTAGAGATTATCTTGCTTGTGAGAAGTTCTTTGGTTAAGATAAGGAAACTGGCCCAGAGAACTCTAGTGATTTGCCCAACATCATTCTGCTCAGTAGTGGCAGGGCCGACATCAAATCCCTGTGTTCTTTATGCCATGCTACCCCCTGGAACACCTGTGTCTTTAAGGCTATTAAAGCATTTGCTATTATGCTTTAATAGAGCCTTTAAACTGATATCTACTTGAATGAACTTACTGGACTGGCCTAGGACAACCAGAAGGGAAGACTGTCTGTCCCACACTTGAGGCAACCCCACCGCGACCTCAGCAGACATTACTAATCACTGTACTTTGGTTCTGAGACTGCAAAGGATCTTGAAATCTTTCTCAATTCTTGTTTCAGACAGCCACAACTAATTGGTCAAATTGGTTTATCAGCTGTAATACCATTTCTAAACCAAGCCATGCTTAAAACTCAGGTAATTTTTAAGTGTATGTGTGTGTTGCTTTCCTCTGCAGCAGACTAGAAGTACGTAATATTCCAGTCAATGATATTCCAGTCAATGACTGTGGCTCAGAACAAGTGATTTTCAACTAACAGGGAGGCCATGCTCTCCTAGTCGAGCGTAAAAACAAACCAAAAAACACCATCAAAGGGTAAGAGAAAGAGGGTGGAAAGAAGGAATATGGTTCAAAAAAATTTCTGTAGATGATTTTTATGCCTGCACTTCTCACAGTTTCAAGTCACTACTACTTTAGTACCATTTATTGCTGGAATTTACTTCTGACATCATCACGCCATTCAGAAATTGTGTTTTTGATTTAAGCACCCATTGTGATGAGAGAAGTATGTATGTGTGTGTATGTGTGTTCGACCAACTGTAAATACGTATTATGTATGCAATGTGTCTGATTACCCATCACACACATTTCTAAAGCTAAGGTATATGGAATTTGCTGTAGAATATGATAGTGTACCTTAAAGTCATTACCATCCTCTTTGTAATAATTCTTTCCTTTTTTCTATGAGTGCTAAAATTTTGATATCTGGTGGTAAATTCAGATTAATTTTCTGGGCTGTGGAACTAAGGATTAACACAACATTTATATTAAAAGAAAATTCATACATTCTGAAAAATAAATGAAGTCTGTTGAGTTTTTTTGTTTGTTTCTTTGTTTGTTTTTCTTAGATAGGGTCTTGGTGTCGGCCAGGCTAGAGTGCAGTGGCATGATCACAGCTCACTACAGCCTCCAACTCCTAGTCTCAAGCAATCCTCCTGCTTCAGCTTCCCAAGTAACTGGGACCATAGGTGCATGCCACTATGCTGAACTAATTTTTTGTATTTTTTGCAGAGATGGGATCTCATGTGTTGCCCAGACTAGCCTCAAACTCTTGACCTCAAGCAACCCTTCCATCTCAGCCTCACAAAGTGTTGGGATTGCAAGTGCAAGCCACTGGGCCTGGCCAAGATTAATTTTTCTACTGACCTTTCTTTTGCAGATATGTGACAGAAAGCACAAAGATTAGGCATTTGACTTTTTCTGTAAGAATCCTCTTACTTAAAGTGCTATGCAAAGATTCACTTGCAGTGATACATATGCATTTTATCATTTTCCTTTTAAAAAATATAGATCTGGTTTTACATTTTAAGAGGTTGTGGAAGAATCTGATACTAATTTACCCAGTAATTTGTATTACGTTGATTCATTGACTCTGAGGACCTACTGGGTATCAGATTGTGTTGCTCACCTGGAGGAATGAAGGTGAATAAGACATAGCCCCAGTCCTCAATGGGCTTACTACATTCTAGTAGAAGAGCCAAACAAATAAACAGATAGATAATTTCACAGGTATTGTTTTCGGCAAGGCAGGCCCCTATTTTCCTGTCCAAGAGAATCATCATGTTGGAGACCTGCTTGCTGGTGGGTATTGCTCTGTTTCAGCGAAGTCTATCTTGCTATACATGACTCACTTGTTAAAAGAACCAAATCGGTGTCTGCACTGGATATAATCAGGTATTTTTTGGCAAGGTAGCTAGGATCTACCTTAGGATCAGATGAGTTAATATTCACCATATATAGTAAACATTGTTTGATTCCTTTTGAGTGGTACTTCTAGTCTTTTGCAGAAGAGGATGGCATTTTATCAATATTTTATTAGTGTTTTTTTTTAATTAGGAATTCGAGTCAGA